CCCCAAAACCCCAAAACCCCAAAACCCCAAAACCCCTTCTTTTTATTTCCAAATTGAATAGTGCTGAGAATAAAGACCTTAAAAGATGTAGATGGTCAAACCATAACCTTTACCAGTTACTGGATCTCTAAAAATAAGGGTTTTGAGTCTGAAAATGAAAGTTAGAATCATTCTGAGGTGGGTCTTCCTGATATCTTCCTCTAAAGCGATTTATAAACAAATTCAACCCCAATCATCACGATTCTCCTAATTTTCTTCACAAAAAGACCCTCTCCAAAATCCAAAACTATTCCTCCCCTTCGCTTGGCTAAATTCTTTACATTCCTCTAGCCTAAGAACAAATTTTAAGGATTTCTTTTGGCTCAAGCCTATTTTTGATTATTCTTTGTTCATGAAGAAGCTGAACCTAGGCTAAATAATTCTTCAGAATTTAATTTGGAGAAATGGGTATTTCATAATTCGGGCTTCCGAAAGAGGATTCTAGCAACACTAACCTTTGAGAATAAGTTCTGATGGTTGAGCTTGTGGTCTGGAGATGAGAGGTAACCTCTTTCTTCAACTCTTCACTCTCTCTCCTCATTCTCGTAACTTCGCTCTCCACTTGTGCAACCCTCTTGGTTTCTTCCTCATCTTTCTGTTCTCTAAGCTTCAATCTTTCCTCCAACCCCTCTATTGTCTTCATGAAATTTTCTTTTAAAGCTTCTTGGGAAAGGTAGAGGTCAGCAGCAGTGAGTAGGTTAGAGGCCTTGGATTCTTCATTAGCGACTTTGAGGTTTATAATTCATTGAAACAAGTCTTTAGTCTATCTCTGACCGCTCTTAGCATTAAGTCAGTTTTTCTTTCTTTTTCTTCAGGATCTTCAAATATACTTACTTTGTTACAAAGCACCGTGAATAGACAAGCCCCAACTCCTTTGCCCACACTTTCTAAAACACTCTGTTCCTTTCCTTCTTCCTTGTTCCCACTAGTCCACATAAAGTACGTAGTAACCAAAACACTGATCCCTAAGAACCCAGCCTTCCACTTTAAGACTGACTGGGGCATCTTGGGGTCGAAGTCCCTGCTTGTGATGGTGGGTTTGGAGTCAGGGTCAGTGAGGGTTTTGAAGAGATCGAGGCATTCTTCGAGGGTGAAGCGAGCGATTTCGTTCTTGGTGTAGTTCAAGGTGGGTTGGGTCATGAGGGTTTGGGATTATCAATTTTTGTGGTTTTTAAGGGGTTTTGGGGTTTTGGGGTTTTGGGGTTTTGGGG